ACCTGGACAGAAATGACTGAATCCCCGAGTGAGGATGGACATAAGTGGTGCTGCCAGGGGAAGAAACGCGGCGCTGCCGGCCACCCTCCTCCCTCACACTGCCCTGCCTGTCTCCCATCCCCAAAGCTTGGAGGTTCTCATCCTTGTCCAGTGTGGGAGCCACACTCAGTCCCCAGAACCCTCAGGGGGCTTCCTGACATGCTCAGCTGAGTCTAACAAAAATACGGCATTTACAAACAAGTTCTCTATCTACATGTCTAAAGCTTATGAGGCTTTAGAGTAAATGAAATAAGCGAAAAATGACTTTATGAGGCTGTAGAAAAATCAACAAATCTAAGAGTTTTTTTCTAAAAAAATAAAATAGACAAATTCTTAGCTAGATTAAGAGAAAAAGCGAGAATCCTTTAATAACCAAGATCTGAAATAATAGAGAAAGCATTAAAATTGATAAAACTGAAATTTAGATGCAATTACAGATGATTGCTCTGACATTGTTCAAAGTTGTCTCAATCTGCCAGGTACTGATGGCATTCATTGTCACAGAACCCAAGAAGGGGCATGAAACACACAGTTATTGTTGCTCACAAGTTCTCGACAAACTGTCAGCAATCCAAAATACACCAGTATAGAAAAAAGAAACATCTGCTTCTATGCAGTTTGCAAGTGTTCTAGACCATTTCAGGAGATTCTGACACTAGATTTATGCAGATTTGTGGTAACAATTTTGTCCTCCAAAGGTATACTCCAATAATAATAATAAATGAGATAACAATTGGTGTCGTATTATTATTTCTATCTATAATGATGGTAATTTATTGAAGCATGATAACCTAAATGTCCTAATTCTGAACCCACGGTTCTAACTGAGCAGCAATCACTGGCAGCTGAGCTCCCCAATATGGAGACACACCTGACTCTATAAAGCTGCCCTTGGGGGTCTCAGCAAGCTCTAAGGTGTGGAGAAGCAGCTCCCACCTCAGACACAGTTGGATAAATCTCTGCTTTTTCTCTGAGGAAAGTGAGGCTTAGTGTGTGAAAAGGACCAAATTTGCTCTACTCAAGATCTCTTCGGCTGAACGAAAACCAAGGAGGATGATAACCATGTGGTCTCAGCTGGGATTGAACAGTTTCTTATGAGAAAGCCAATGCTCTGCTGAATCCACACTCAGAATTGAGACATAATGCATGTGTTCAGGAGAAATGTGAACATTGCAGTTGTTTGAAGATTGTCTTCTTGCTCCTCTGTCATCTGAGAGAAGCAGTAAAATCATGGTTTCTATGTAAAAATGCATGGGCAGAGTGTTGGCCCTGAGACTGCACTTCCCACTTCTCCACCATCAGGGAACCCATGGACCAGGCGCCCAGCTCTGATAGTGACACCCATGACCTGGTTAATGCAAAGACACGTGTCCTGTGAGCTCCTCCAGGCAGTGACTACACACAGTGGAGACACTGAGGCGCGTCTGCTGCTGGGAAAGGGGACGGATCCCTGATGGGCGGGTTTGGCTCAGGGAGGCATCAGTAGCTGTACTAGACTTAGAGTGGATCACAAGGTAATTCGGCGGTTTTATCAGACTTCTCTGAATTTTACGTCTTTGTCTTCAGTTCTGCACCCACATCCCACAGTTTCCACAGCCCCCCCAGCCTCCTGTGACATATTCTGCCTCCATTGGTGATGCAGCCCTTAGGGGCATACGAGAATGTTTTGTTCCATTTTTTCTAGTAATGAGCTTTTCCAATCCAGAGACCTCAGTGGTAGGCAGAGAACCATAAATACAGAGAGGCTCCCAGGAGAATGCTTTTGATGCAGAAGAACCACAGACCCCGACAGGAAAGCAGCCCTTGGACTGCACCTCCCCCTGCCCCTGGGCTGCTCCTATCTTCTGTGGGTGCTGAGCGCCCCCTGCAGCCGAGCCGCCTCCTGTGTCCTGTGGGGCAGTCTGGACGTCCCATCACAGTGTCTCCTGCAGTTATCTGTTGCCGTCGTGTTCTTGGTTCTCAGGCTGCTCATTTGCATGTACAGCATGAATGGGGTGTTGTCTCTGGAAATGGTGAGTCTGCCCCCAACAGTCTGCGTTGTATTGATGACTTCCCCCCACACCATGTAACTGCGACCCACTCCAGCCCCTTCCCTGAGGCCTGGCAAACCCAGTGACTCTCATAGCTACGGAAGGTGAATCAAGAGGCTGCACAGGAGAGCCTCATGGGTCCCTCTAAGCTGTACCAAGTCTCCCGCAGGCTCCGTAACCTGCAACTCACACTGGACACCTGCAAACACAGATATTCTGGTTAGAAACTGTCACAGCTATGTAATGTTTCTTTCATGTGCTGAACCTCATGGTCCAAGGCCACCTTTGGGGGCCGTGGTCTACTGTGAGGTCATGGCACCTGCTCTGCCTTCAGGGGCCTGCAGCTGTGGGGAAGGATCAGGAGAGTGACTTCTTAGTTTTTGCTCACCAGAAAGAGTTTGGCATGTTTAATTCTATGAAAGCATCTGATACTCTGAAAAAATACAAAGGTACACAGGTAAGAACTAATGAAAACAAAAACAAGCAATTAAAATTTAAAAGTCTCATATAAAATCAATGGCATTTGCATGTAATTTTCTTCAAAAAATTAAAGACAAATGTTGTAATACTGCTATTTTTAAATCATATGGTAATATATTCTTAACTAGCCTATATACTGCCAACCACTGTGTGTGTGTGTTTGTGTGTGTGTGTGTGTGTGTGTGTGTGTCTGTGTGTGTGTGAGAGAGAGAGAGAGAGACAGAGAGAATACAGACAATAAGAGAAACTTTAAAAAGGAGATACATTTACATAAAGTATTATAATTTATAAGGTCTTTGAATAAGGTGGAAGATGTCATCTTTAACAGTCACGTAAGGTGGAAACAACAAATTGCTGCACTAAATATGATTATACATGTGTATAAATTCCATTTTCTAATTGTACTATGAACACACCTCAGCATAGGCACAGTGCAGAGTATCTAGTGGTGAAATGTGAGGGTGACAGGAAACCCATTCTCCAGCCTGGGCCCGGTCTTCATGGAGCCCGAATGCCCTTGGTGGTCCTGGGCCCTTCTCCAGGGAAGTTTGTGTCTGGGGTCACACTGGCATCTTCTGCGTGTGTCTCTCACAGTAATACAGGTTGTGGCATTGTTGGTCACAGAGCTCAGCGGCAAGAACATTTGGTTTTTGGGCGTGGATCTGGAGATGGTGACTGAGCTCATGAGGAGGGGGTCAGAACTTGTGCTCCCTCGTGACCTATGCCCCGATCCACTCCCTGGCCTGAGGACTGGGGGATCCAGCTCCAGCAGGAAGCACTGGTCATGATGGAGAATCCAGAGACAGCACAGGTGAGGGAGGGGCCTGGGAGGCCTCGCCAGGCCAGTAAATGGCCATGAAGCAGAGGGGTCAGTGTGCACAGGTTCTGGACAATGCACTGAAATTCCTACATACACACATTTTGGTAACAATGAAGAATTTACTTTTGTTCAACTTGTGAGATTTCTAGACAATTCAGTACATTTGGAGATTAAATTCAGGCACATATATGGTAAACTTGCAACCAAATTTAAAAAAAAAAAAAAAAAAAAACAGAAAATGGTCATTTCTTGTTTTTGTTTTGTAAGTGTATGCACACACACATTTCTCAAATGCCACAGTTTGTGACTAATTCACTATTTAAAAAAAAAAAAAAAAACTGCTGTCAAAGGAATGAACGTTGAGCTATTTTCTTTTACTATAAAGAGGGTGATTTTCAGAATAGAAGTGAAGCATGATACCCCAATAGTGTGTTAACTCTGAAATCACAGTTATTTCTTAGCAGAAATCAGAGGCAGTGGAGGTCACCCCTCCTGAAGGAGAAAACACCTGAGTCTATAAACCTGACTTGGTGGTCTCTACAGGCTCTGAGTGCACAGGACCAGCCCCCACCCCAGACTCAGGAACAGGGAAAGACTCTGCTCTTTCTGTGGGGAGGTGAGTCTTAGCATGTGGAAAGGTCCAAACTTACTCCACTCTAAATCTCTGTACATGGACAGAAACCAAAGAATATGAGAAACATGTGGACTCACTGTGGATGCAACAATTCCTCATGAGAAAGGCGAGTTGGTGGTTGAATCCTGCACAGAATTAAGGAAGAATGCAGGCCAGGTCATTGTAGAGATTCTCATTATTTGCCGACTGCATGCCTGCTTCTCTACATCCGCTGAGAGAATCGAGTAAATTCGTGTTTTCTAGATACAAATCCATAAACAGAGTCCTGTCCCTGATAACGCCCCCCCATTCCTCCAACATTAGAAGCCCATGACCCGACGCCAGCTGCTGCTCTCTGACGTCCATCACCGGGTTTGGGCCAAACACACACGTCCTGGGAGCTCCTCGCAGACAGAGACTGAGCACAGTGGGGATGAAAAGGCGGGTGGCTGCGGGGCACACGGCGGGTCCCTGATGGGCTCCTATGGCTCAGGGGGGCCTGCTGGCCGTGCCGGACTTAGTGTGCACCTCATGGTACTTAGGGAGTCCCATCGAACTCCCCATTTCCCCTTCACTGCTTGTGAAACGTGAACCTGGGCGAACAGTGTCCACAGCCTCACCCGGCCTCCTGAACAGGTTTCTTTCTCCATCAGTGGCACCTGCCCTGGGGCATGTGGTCATGGCTCCTCCTGTAGTAATAAACTTCACAGACGTAGACGCCTCAGTAGTAGGGACATAACTGTAAATACACAGACCCTCCCCGGGGAACGTTACATGCAGAGGAAGCCACAGGCCCTGGAGGAGAGCAGCCCTTGACCTCCACCTGCACCTGCGCTGGGCGGCCCCTGTCCTCTGTGTATCCTGAGCGTCTCCTGCTGGTTCCAGGCGCCATTGAAGGAGGTTTGTGTCCGGGCTCACACTGACTTCCCCTCACTGTGCCTTTCGTACAGTAATACACGGCTGTGTCCTCGGCTTTCAGGCTGTTCATCTGCAGATAGAGCGAGTTCTTGGCGTTGTCTCTGGAGATGGTGAATCGGCCCTTCACGGAGTCTGCGTAGCTTGTGCTACCACCAGTACTACTAATGTATGAGACCCACTCCAGCCCCTTCCCCGGAGCCTGGCGGACCCAATCCATGCTATAGCTACTGAAGGTGAATCCAGAGGCCGCACAGGAGAGTCTCAGGGACCCCCCAGGCTGGACCAAGCCTCCCCCAGACTCCACCAGCTGCACCTCACACTGGACACCTGCAAACAAAGAGACACCCTTGTCATTAACTGCCACACATACCCACTGTTCCCCTCACTCATGTCCCCTCACACTCAGTGTCTCCAGTTCTCCGTGAATTACCTTTCAAAACTGTAACAAGGAAAACCCAGCTCAGCACAGACTCCATGGTTGGTGGTCTGTGTTCAGTGCTGATCACCAAATGGAAACTCCTGGGAATCCCAGGGCCGGGGCTGCTCTCCCAGAGCTGCAGGGTCAGGGCCGGGCTGGTTTTTATCAGCAGAGGTAGGACTGTATTTGCATGTCTCTTGCTATATAGCAAGCTCTGGGGTGAGATGCCTGAGGAGAGGTCAGAGCCCAGATAAGGTGACCGTGCCTTGCAGGTGTTTGGTGACAATGATGGTATTTGGAAATCGTGCTTATTATAAAATTATTCTGTGATAAACACTTTGAACTGAGAGCCCTGTTTTAGTTTTGCATATTCATGTATATTACGTTTTCTGGGAGTCAGTGTTTCTCCATGTACAGATGTGGAAGTACACCTCACATGGAAAGGGGCTCTGTGTGTGTCTAAGAGCTCATGTCTGGATGAGTAAGCCCTGGTATCCGGGGCCGTGATCCTCAGCACAGGCCCCAATTACTCCCTGAGCCAACTCAGGACAGAGCGTGGTTTGAGGAACCCACTTTCTGTAGTGAAAACATGTGTGTTGCATTCTAGAATTCACTAAAACTATGATGGGAACCATGGTTCAGGCAGATACATTCTTAAGAATTTCTGAATTCAGTATACCCTTTTCCTATCTTTCTGTCATTCCTTCCTTGTCTAAGTTTCAATTTGTTTTCTTGTAATAAATTGTGTAAGTTTTAGTTTACAGATAGTAAACTTCCACATATTTAAAGTGAACAGTTGTAAACATGATTTAACCGTCATTGTTGTCAAGGTGGACAAGAGAATTCTCAGCATTTCCTTTTGTTCTTCTGTGTTCTTTCCCTTTTTTCCTCTTGTTTCTTCTACCATTTCCCTGGTGACTACTGATTTTTATCTTGCTGCACATTCATTTTAATTTATCAGAATTTATAAAAATCAAATAAGATAGTATACATTCTTAATTGTTTGGCTTATTTTACTTGACATAAACATTTATTTATTATAAATGTTGGGTAGTATTCCAGCAAAAATTTACCATAAGTTGTTTTTCTAGTAAGCACCTTAAAAATTTGACTTTTTACAAATTATTTTGGGTCTTACTAAAAATCTGCTATTAAACTTGGAAATGAACATAGGAAAGGAATATTTTTCTTATTTTTTACAACTGCATCAACAATAGCAGATAAACATAGAAGATGGAATTTTACAAATTTTTATTATTATTTCCAATAATTAAAGTTTGAAAACAAACAAGAAATCTGACGTTTAGGGAGAAGCAAGTGCTTGTAGAGCATGACACAGCCAGGGTTTGAAACTACCTAAGGTGGGTCTGTAATATGAAACGTGGGCTATTGCAAGAAAAAATACAAATATATATTGGATTGCTTGGGATCAAGTATGGTAAATGTATTGCAGTGTGGAATTTTAAGGAACCACATAGTGTAAAGCTTTCTTATCCTCTTGAATCACTTTTCTCAAGAAACAGGACAGTCACAAAAATCTTCCTTTCCTGAACATCTGTCTGGAAGAGAACAAGACCTCCCACTTCTAAAATGTATTCGGACCCAACTCCCTTATTGCCACTACAGAACTAGGAATCTACTGTGCAGGGGCAAGCCACTGAAACCAGAGTCCTAGGGGCGCTGGTTCAACCCCTCAGGTATTGTCATGGGAACCGAGGTCCCCACCAAAGATCTGTTGAGAAGCAGCTCCCCTCTCTTTCTTATGAAATCAGAACCTTAGTCTGCAGTGCAGGGCAGCAGATCTGGAGGGCGAGGACACCAATGGAGAACACGGGAGCTGTAGGAGGAAACACCTGGGAAAACAGGAGGACTCTACCCCAGGGGAAGGGGCAGGAACACACAGACCAGCATATCATCTGGGGAAGGGGCAGGAACACTCACAAGGTCACGCCCAGACTCAGGGTCACAATGTCTTATTCAGAATATGGACCCAGGAATATTAACTGTTTAGTCTAATGCCTTTTACCATTTAAAAAATCGTCAGTTAAATAAAACACTTGAATGTACCTGAGGGAGCAGAAAGAGATTCTTGGGAAGTCCCAACACGGTGAAGAGACAAAGTCAAGCAGAAAAGACAAAGAAGGTATCATTGGAAGATCTGTAATCCCTGGTGGACATAGAAGAACAGACTTCAGTTAGTTTTTAAAACCTTTATATCTGCTGATAGTAATTTATGTGATGAAATTGCCAGCCTCAGCAGTGGAATCTTATTATCCCCTTCAGGGATGAGTGTCCATTGGGCATGTGGTGAAATTCTAGTCATGGGGGCAGGGGAGAAGGTCTGTTGAGGTGTTCCTGGTCCTTCAGAGGACAATTGCAAAAATGTCTCTTCCCCACTTCCAGGTGACATTTAATACATATGTTACTCTTGGGAATGTTGCCTCCATGTCACAGCATGATGGGAGTCACCTGAGGGGTGAAGCTGAATTTCTGGATGCATCAGTGTGGAAAATTGAGAAAAGAAACTGACTGAGCACATGAGCTGTCAAACTATTCAATCCTGGAGCCACTCACATCCAGTCTTCTTGTTTCATTAGGTTGTGATTTTCCTCGTTGTCTGGTCAGCCTAGGTTGTCTCTCTCCCTCTCTGCTGAAATAGTCACACATAATAATCTAGAGGCATTAAGATAAATAAGTAACTAATTTTAAAATTAGAACAAGTCCCAAGTGAAAATGTTACCATGTGGTTAATAACGTGTAGGCAGGAGACATGGCTGGATAATAAGAGTGTGCTCATGTCAATTTCTTCTAGATGAGCAAAATATTTTCTATGTCCCTTACATAATATTCCCATTTTGACCCTTGACTTAACATTAATTCTTGATGAGTAACACCTAAATAATAAAGTGAGTTATTAACTAATAATTTATATTATTAGTACAAACTTTCATTAAGATATATTCCTCTACCTGATGTAAAATCAGCCAAAAAGGCAGAAGTTATTGCACTTAATTAAATTAAATACCGATGTTCTACAGTGATGCATAACTGTAAAATATGCTGCAGGCAAAGGAGGATTTTAAATCTTTAGGAAGCTCCATGAAAATGAACAACAAGAAAACACACTTGGAAGTAATTCCTGTGTTCTAGAGACTTGACATAGAAATTTAAAACTAAATACAAACAAAGAAGAAAACAAAAATCCAGTATGGAAACTAGAATAACACTATGTTGCATCACGACCAGCAGGAAGCACTGGCTGTGATGGGGATGCAGAGACGGCACAGGCGAGGGGAGGGTCTGCGAGGGCTTCCCCAGGCCAGGAGTGCACTGAGAAACATGGCTGTCGGCATCACCGGTTCCGAAAAACACGCTGAAACTCACAATATGCACGTTTTGATTCATAAATAAAAACAGGATGGCATTGGCATTAACAGAGAGAGAGAGAGCTCAGAAATAAAAGGACATGTCAATGGCAAACTGATTTTCAGTATGTGAGCCAACAATATAAAATGTACAAATCAAGGTCTCTCCCTAAGAGGGTGTTAGAAAAACTGGATCTACACATGCAAAGAATTAAGAATTTTAGTTTAGAATGAACACAAAAATCACATCTAAATGGGATAAATAGTTAAACGTATGGCTTGCAATTGTAAAATTTCCCCCACTCAGAAAATAATATTAAGAACGATTTCCTGTATTTCAAATTGAAGGCACAGACAATGAACTCAGAAGTGAATGGGTGGAACTGCATCACAACAGAAAGATTCTGCAAACCATGGAAACAATTCCAGCCTACAGAATGGGAGAATGTAATTGCATGCAATGAATTGGAAAATGTGTCAAAATCCAAAAACAACTCATTAGCAAAATGATAATTGCCCGATTGTGAGGTGGTCAGTTTTACACCTTAACAAACTTAAGAACATAGATCTCATGTTAAAGATTTTTCCCTCTGGGTAGTGGTAAGTGTTATGGTACACTTGGTAAGGGTAGACTTTGTAATTATTCAGTCCAACACTAATATAGGTTGTGTTAGCTGGGCAAGGTGGCTCGCGCCTGTAATCCCAGCAGTTTGGGAGGCTGAGGCGGGTGGATCACCTGAGGTCAGCAATTGACATCAGCCTGACCAATATGGTGAAACCCTGTCTCTATTAAAAATACAAAAATTAGCTGGATGTGGTGGCGTCCATCTGTAGTCCTAGCTACTCAGGAAGCTGAGACAGGAGAATTGATTTAACCTGGGAGGTGGAGGTTGCAGTGAGCCAAGATCACACCATTGCACTGTAGCCTGGGTGACAGAGTGAGACTCCATCTCTCTCTCTCTCTCTCTCTCCATATATATATGTATATGTACTACATATGTATTATATATACATATTATATATGATGTTGTGAATGTATTTAATAGATGTTATTAAAACTGTTATCAGCTGACTCTAGGTTAGGTAGTTTGTCATTGATAAAATTAATTTGTGGGCCTGATTCCATCAGAGCAGAACTGGAGAAAATGAAATTCCATGGTGATTCAGCAGCTTCAGGTCCCTCTGGGACCTCCAGCGTGTGCTTACTGATGGATGATCCTATGGACATTGGATGTTCCTAGCCACCTCCACAAACTGTCATCCTCTACGTATGACGGAATATGGCCTGTCCATCTGTAGCTTGTCAACCCTGAATAATAAACAGAGAGTGACTCTAAAATATGATAAAACTTATTTAAGGATTGGTATTGAAATTGAAATATGTGTGGGTGCATTCAGGTTGGTAAAAGAAAGATACATAATTAAGGAAAAATGAGGAGGGTTACATCAGCTGTTTTGAGACAATTATCCTGGGTTAGAAAGGTCAATAACAGGGGTGACATTGGTATGTGGTTGAACGGGCAGTTGTTGGAGAAGAAACTGATGCCCCCCAGCGTTCCTGCAGGAGGTTTGTGTCCGGGCTCACACGGGCCTCCCCTCACTGTGTGTCTTTTGCACAGTAATACACGGCCGTGTCCTCGGCTCTCAGGCTGCTCATCTGCAGATACAGCGAGTTCTTGGCGTTGTCTCTGGAGATGGTGAACCGGCCCTTCACGGAGTCTGCGTAGTATGTGCTACCCCCATTATAACTAATGAATGCGACCCACTCCAGTCCCTTGCCTGGAGCCTGGTGGACCCAGCTCATGCTATAGCTACTGAAGGTGAATCCAGAGGCCGCACAGGAGAGTCTCAGGGACCCCCCAGG